CACGTTGTTTTTCACTTCTACGTAGTCCTATTCGCTCTTCAATACACTATCTGTCTAACCATCTCTTTTTCCGCCTACCTGTGTTACCATAACAGGACCTACCAACTTGTAAATAGTTGCTGACTCATCCAACAAATCCACTTCCTATTATACGTGCACATGATCATAAACTGGACAACTTCTCTCTTCTTACTCACCGCTTTGACAAGTTCGTTTTCTCTCAACTGTGCTGTTAGTATTTGTTTGTTATTAAAAAGTTTTCCTATATCTGATAAAACTTTACACCATGGTCTCGGTTTTTAACAACGAGTTTGAATACCTTTGTGTACCTTTTGCAATTCTTGATAAGCTGTTTGTACGGAACTAGATGATGACATTTTCTATTTTCCCACAACACAAATAAGAAGATTGTTTGGAGGAGGGGGATGTGGATAGGATCTCCTTGCTGGTTTTGTGGTGCTAGTGACAAAGGAGCTCATAAAAAGTTGCATGGATCTACTGCAAAAATTCCTTGGAAAGTTGATTGTAATAGAAACTTGAAGAGAAGAGGTAGGTTACGTATGTATGGGATTCAAGTTTTATCTTACTCGTTTCTATAGGAAAATATCGCTCATGGGTGTACATGACGCTTGACCAAAGAGGTAAGGCGACAGTTTATTTCCTTTGTTATATTCTAACCAAAACGAATAGAAACAAAGACGAAACAAAAGGAAGATTTTAGCAAAGGTTCGTTATCCCTACCTCAGAGACCGAGAAGAAATAGAAAATCCGATGCCATTCGTTCCTTAACCAGAGAAACCATACTCTTGCCTCAACACCTGGTCTATCCCATCTTTATTCACGCTGACTCATATGTGAAACCCATTCCTTCCATGCCAGACTGCCAAGTGCATAGTATATCTTCCATGCTTGAACAAGTTGATATGGCGTATCGTTGGGGAGTACAGAACGTGATTCTTTTTCCAAAAATAGATGTGAAACTCAAGTCTAATACAGCAAGTGAATGTTATAACCCGAATGGATTGGTACCTCAAGCAATCAGTGAGATCAAGAGCAAGTTTCCCAAAGTAATGGTTTGGACAGACATTGCCTTGGATCCTTATTCAAGTATGGGTCATGATGGTATGGTAGGAGATATTGTTCAAGGAAAACAGAAACAATCCGTCATATTGAATGACGAAACGGTACAACAATTGTGTAGACAAGCACTATGTCATGCAGCAGCAGGAGCGGATGTCGTAGCACCTTCTGATATGATGGATGGAAGAATCGGAGCTATTCGTATGGCATTGGATGAAAAGGGATATACTTACGTCAGCATTTGTTCTTATACTGCAAAGTATGCTTCTTCATTTTACGGTCCTTTTCGAGATGCTTTGGATTCTGCTCCAGTAGATATTCCAGGAGTACCTAAAGATAAGAAGACTTATCAAATGGATCCAGGAAATGCTTTGGAAGCTCTGAGGGAAATGGAATTGGATGAACATGAAGGTGCAGACATGCTCATGGTCAAACCAGGATTGCCTTATTTGGATATCATTCGATTGATTCGAGAAAATACTACGCTGCCAGTTGTGGTTTATCAAGTATCTGGAGAGTATGCAATGATTAAAGCTGCAACACAACAAGGTTGGTTGGATGAAAAACAATGTGTCATGGAAAGTTTGTTATGCTTTCGACGTGCAGGTGCCAACGCAATTCTTACTTACTTTGCGAAAGATGCTGCACAATGGTTGGTTGAACAAGATGATATTGCTCGCAAAAGTTTTTTGCAATAAGAAGGATTCAAAGGTAGTTTTACAACGTGTCAGGGACATCTAAACATTCCTTCTCTTTCCTTCCATTTCTAGCCTTACTAGAATTCTTTTCAATTGCTCCACTACGATATCAGCTACAACATAAGGATTATACTTGGTCAAAATCTGCTCGCGAGCGTATTTTGCTTTTTTCAAGCTTTCAATTGGATGATCCATCACGTATCTGAAAAGCTTTCGCAAATGACTTGCACTCGGTCTAGCCCAACGCTGACCACCAAACATTTGTTGGTCTGCTGCTTCTAACTCTCCAGATAAACAATCTTCGAGACGTTCCACTGAAATCGGATATCCAGTATCGTCTCGTAAGAATTCGGTAGTTCCACTCCAATTGGTTGCAATAACTGGTACATTCATAAGCATTGCTTCCATCAAAGGTCGACCCCAGCCTTCGCCTCTCGAGGGTAACACAAAAGCATTTGCTCTACGATATAAACTTGGCATTAAATCTGTCGGTAAACTTGGTTCTAATACTAAAAACTTTGCTCGATTGTATAAAGGAATTCCCAAGCTATCCACATATCGAGATATCTTTTGCGTAAATACAGAAGAGTTGCTATTTCCTTTTCTGGTGAGTATTACCAAACATACAGGGTCCGAAGCGTCAAACTCTCTAAAATATGCATCCAACAAAATATCGATTCCTTTCCTTGGTTCCCACTTGAAAACAGAAAGAAAAACAAAATCCTTATCCGTCACCGGAGCAGGCAGCTTCAAAGGCAAAACAGTAGGTAAGTCATACGCATATTGCGTTATTGCTTGAGGCACAATATGCAAGCGACTAGGATCCACACCGGAACGTGAAAAGGTCTCGAAATTAAATTGAGAAGGTATCCATATTTCATCCACATAGTTCAAGTGCGTTTGCCACATCTTTGGAATACCGTCGGTTTCAAACATAGTCCTACCGACACGATATAAACCATTCTTATACAGGTGAGGTTGCCAAGCGTGGGCAACACTGTGAAACACTATGACGTCATACATTTTGGAGTTTTTCTTTCGGGAGTTTGATTTACTTTCCTCGTCCTCCATCCAATGGCGCACTATCAGTTTTTTGGCTTCTGCGTTCAAATTGCGCACGTAGTCTTCGTGAATTTCGCCATCAAACTGATAAATATCAATATCTGTTACCCGTTCTTGCAAACCTTCCAGAAAAGCAAATGCTTCCGTACTAAAACCTGTCGCGCTCTATAGGTTTGCGATGAGAAAAGAAGTTGTCAAGGGGGAAACAAGAACGTACCTTGAACTGACTCAACCATAAAAGTGACATATTCAGTTTCTCTCGAGAACTTGCACTGTAGTCTGAACTGGAAGCTTGTCTTCTCCCCTGTGATAGTAATCTTTGTCGTTCCCTTTCAAAACTATACACTTCTCTCGGTTCCCATGACCAAAATATAACCAAAGTGAACATTAAGCTACAGCAGATCAAAACGGCTTTTATATTTCCACAACTGCGCTTGAGTCGATGGAAAAACTTCACTGGAGTTTCCATCTGTGGTATTTGTTCACAAAAGTTTTTGAAAGCTTACTAAAGTTTCCCAATACAGGTCATCACAATTTCAAGGAGAAAAAAGTAAGTTGGCGCCATTTTCGGTTGATTTGCTGTAATGAATCGATTTCAACCGAATGATGTTTTCAAATGCGATGAAATTGGTATAGTTTATGTTTATTTCTGGAAAACTTGCAAATAGGTAAAATAATATGATGACATATAGTCATGAGGAATGGATGAACAGGAAATGATGCCATCCGTTTGTGAAGAAATTGAATTTCTGCTTGAAGGATACACGACTGGTAACTTTCGACGCATACACACGAGCATATTGAGTTTCGGTTTCCATGAATACCAACCAGGACTCTTTCAGCAATTGTAACCCTAAGTTTTTTCACGAGCTAAAGCCTACCAATCACTTTGTAAACGCTTTGTTGACGGATCTTTATCAGTTAACGATGGCTTATTGTTACTGGAAACAAGGCCGACATGAAGACCAGGCCGTGTTTGACTTGTTTTTCAGAAAATGCCCGTTCGATGGAGAGTTTGCGGCAAGTGAATTTTTAAAGCCGAGAAAACACAATCTAACGAACTCGTCAGATTTTTGCAGGTCTCGAGGAATGCGTTCGTTTCTTAGCAACCTTTCAATTTACTGAAAGTGATATTCAGTTTCTTAAAAACGTTATACAGGCAGAAGAAGAGTTCTTTGATTGGCTTAGAAATCTAGATGTTTCTCAAGTTGTAGTCTATGGAGTTGTGGAAGGCAGTGTTGTCTTTCCTTTGGTGCCCCTACTTCGCGTGGAAGGACCACTCGCCGTTTGTCAACTTTTGGAAACAACACTATTGAACCTCATCAATTATGCTTCCCTAGTTGCCACGAATGCTGCTCGTTTTCGACTAGCAGTAGGTGAGAAATCCCTTTTGGAGTTTGGTTTGCGTCGTGCACAAGGTGCAGATGGGGGAATGTCAGCTTCTCGATATACTTATTTGGGTGGTTTTGATGCAACGAGCAATGTTCTCGCTAGTAAACTCTTTGCAATTCCATGTAGTGGTACCCATGCCCATTCATTCGTACAAACCTTCTCTGATTGTAGCCAACTCATTACTACGAAGCTGTTAGATTCCAATCGAAACGAAAGAGAAGTAAGTAAAATGCTATTCATCATATATTGCCACTGGACATTGGCTTTAGTTTGTTCAGTTAGTATTAGAAACTCGAGAAAAGCTAGGCTACTCTACCAACCAAGGAGAGTTGGCAGCTTTTATATCTTATGCTCAATGTTTCCCTGATAAGTTTTTGGTGCTCGTGGATACATATGATACTTTGGGTTCTGGAGTTCCCAATTTTATTTGTGTTGCATTATGTCTTCTGGAATTTGGTTATAAGCCTTTGGGAATTCGTTTGGATTCTGGCGATCTTTCGTATCTATCCAAAGCGGCTAGGAAAGAAATTTCAAGAATATCAAGGCTTACGGGGAAAAGCGAGTTGAATCAGGTCAAAATTGCTGCTAGCAACGATCTTAACGAGGCAACGTTATTGTCATTGCAACAACAGGGGCATGAGATTGATATTTTTGGTATCGGTACTCATTTGGTAACTTGTCAACAACAGCCAGCGTTAGGCTGTGTGTATAAATTGGTTGAAATCAATCGACAACCCCGTATCAAAGTATCAGAAGATATTTCGAAGCTTACTATTCCTTGTTCCAAAAATGCTTATCGTTTATATGGCAAGGAGGGATATCCACTAGTTGATTTGCTGACACTTGAAACGGAAGAAGCACCGAAGGTGGGAGATAAGATACTTTGTAGACATCCTTATGTGGAAAGGAAACGTTGTCTTATAGTCCCTACACGTATTGAGCCTTTATTGAAAATGGTACGTGATCAATTTTTGTATATTTTCTGGAAATGAGCAAGTGAATGACATGAATAATGGACGATAGATTTGGAATGGGAAGCCCGTTGAGCCTTGTTTGTATCCTCTTTCACAACTACGAGAATTTTGCAAACAAGAAATGAGTTGTCTTCGAGAAGATCATCGTCGATTTCTGAATCCTACTCCATACAAAGTATCGGTTTCTCAGACGTTGTTTGATTTCATTCATCGCTTATGGTTGGAAGAAACTCCCATTCCAGAATTGATATGATTTCTTGTAAAGGATGAGGTAAAGAGAATCCACTCTGTGGATCTTATATAGTATGAAACAAGACTTTGCAGTTTTCTAAATGAAGAGACCAAAAAGTGAAGTTAATTGTGTGACGTGGTCATTCATTGAGAGCTGTTCAAGAATACTTTTCAGTTGGACAGTTGTCTACATGTAGGAAGAAAAAGATAAAATGGCGGAAGGGAAAAGTCTTTTGATGGAAAGTAATTGTCTTATAAGAACTGTTTTGATTGTTTCCACTCGATGGAGTTTGATTATCTTTTGTACTTTTCAAAACACGAAATATAGGGTGTGGAAAGAGGAATGCTATCCATGCAATATCCTTCAATTCCATTCGGTCGTTGAGAGAATTGTTGGACATGTGGCCGATGACTCAAGTTTTGATATCGGCTTTTGCTTATGGAAATAATGTGAACTCTCGCAACCTTAGACGGGGACGTGCTTTATCCTTTCCTCGTTTTTGGTCTGTTCAGTGGAAACCAAGTTTATGTCGGAGACTTTCTGTTTATCGTGTAAAAGACAACACTGTAGCGTCGAGTTCTTTATATTCCCTGTATCACGTGCAAAGAGAAGAAAGTACTCCCTTCAACGTTCCCAACACTGCTAAAGAACCACCAACAGAAAATCACAGTTCTCCGGAAGGTACGCTTAAAAAGTTAGAAGAGAAGGCTTCCCAAGGTAGTACTGGAGTCAAAGTGCAGAAGAACAAAAGGTCGCAATATGCAGAAAAAGATACAAAGCTCCCACCTCCAGGAGTATCTCCTACTTCTTGGTACAATTCGAGAATACGTGAATGTGTTGGAAGAAAGGATATCAAAACAATACTTGCTATTCTAGAAAAGATGCGGTCAGCAGAAGGAGTTGTGCTCAATGCAGTGACTTTTGCCACTGCACTCAGTTGTTGTTCCAAATTGCGTGATATGGAGTCGGCAAAAGTTATCTGGAAGATGTACGAAGAAGAGAGAATCCCTCCTAGCAACTATGTCTTTAGTTCTATGATTGCTGTATGTTCAAGAGCACAACCACCACATGTGGACTTGGCTTTAAAACTATTTCATACTTTGTTAGAAACAGGTATCCAACCGAACAGGATAGTATACAATGCCACGATTGATATTTGTTCTCGAACCATGAGATATCGTGAGGCATTGGAGTTGTTTGAAAACTTTCACATGAGTGGGGATGCTCCGGATGCTTATACATATAATGCTATTCTACGAATATTTGCTTCCAAAGGAGATATTGAAGGAACAAGAAAGATGTTTCGCAAGATGTTGTCGACTCATATATCTCCCAGTGTCATCACTTTTAGTATCATTATGGAAGCTTTTGGAAGGCTTCGTCGTTTGGATTATGTCTTGGAATTTTTTCATGAAATGCAGAATCATTGTGTGGAACCGAATGCCGTTACCTATAATATCTTAATAAGTGCTTGTGCTCATTCTAGAGAATATAACAAAGCATTAGGATTTGCAGCGGAAATGTCAACCAAAGGGTTATTAAAAGATCGTTATACTTATAATGGATTGATGCACGCTTCCGTTGCTGCGAAACAGTATACTGCAACTTTGGAGTGGTTCGATACTATGCTAGAGAATAACATTGTTCCCAATAATGTTACATTTCGTTATCTTTTTGAAGCTGGAGGTGGTTTGGTACGCTTTCAAGTGATTGAGTTGGGTTTAAAACATATGGAAAAGATGGGATTGAGTCTCAATGTGTATACTTTTGCTGCTTTGGTTGCAGCTTGTATTCATTGCAAGGAATTTGAAGCAGGTCAGAATTATCAGAAACAAGCTCAATATTTGTTAAAAAGGCAAGGCAAAATCTTTTATGAACAGTTGGCCAACATATTACAAGGCTTTGGTGATTCTGTTCGTGCCAATAAGATATTTGCCAAATTGCAACTTTATGAGCAATAATAAGATATAACAAAGGAGACTGAAATGGATACAAATAGGTTGCTTTCTCTTTAACACAAAAAAAGAGAGAGTAAAAGTTTTCCAGTTGTTGAAGATTGGAGAAAACAACATTTTATATGTTACTATGAAGATGATTTGACTAACAAAGACTTGTAAAGAAAACCATATACGATTCCATCAACCCTCTTTCATCTTATAAACTACTCAAGTTATCCCACATATGCATATCTTCTCTATCAACTCGTGACATTCCATATACTTGCAGAAATTCTTCGATATCTGCTGGAGAACCTAATATAAGAGGCTTCCTTTCGTGAATATCTTTTGGTGTCAAATCTAAAATATTTTCTATTCCCGTGGTTGCTTTACCTCCTGCTTGTTCAACCAAATATGCCATCGGTGCACATTCATATACCAATCTCAATTTACCAGAGACATTCTTTTTATCTGCTGGATAACCAAATATTCCGCCATACAATATTGTACGATGTACATCAGCAACCATGGAGCCAACATATCTTGCGGAATAACGACAATTTGTTTGATTGTTTCCTTTTTTTAACCTCTCTATATAATCTTGAACTCCTTTATCCCATTGATAAAAGTTGGACTCGTTGAAAGAATAAATATTACCTCTTTGTGGAATTTGGATGTTAGCACGAGTCAATACAAATTCACCAACTTCCGTATCCAAAGTAAAACAATGAAGACCATTACCCAATGAGAGTACCAACATGGTAGAAGAAGAATAGATACAATATCCAGCGGCAATCAATCTACGTCCTGGTTGTAAAGTGTTTTGTAAACAAGCCAATTCCATGTTATCGATGGACTCCTCATAGTCATGAATGAGACACGAGAATTGTTGTTGAAACACTCCAAATATAGTTCCAGTAGGCAATCCAGCATCCAAATTGGAAGAACCATCTAATGGATCAAACACGACTACATAGTTACCGGAATAACTTTCTTCTACCATGATAGGAACGTCTTCTTCTTCCGAAGCTATGACAGCCATTTTTCCCGAATATTTGAGAGCGTTCTTCAATACTTCATTAGAAAGAACATCCAACTTTTTCTGTTCTTCTCCGTGAACGTTGACTATGCCTTGTTGATAGATTCCCATCAAGTCAGTGACCCCTGCTTTACCAACCAATGAAGCTATCTTTTTGCAAGCAAATTGAATACCGTTTATCAATGCCACCATATCTCCCATATCCTTATTTTGTTTGGCTACTTCCAACAAGTAACGAGTGAGTGAAGTTGGTGTGTCTTGTGAGGTTTGTAAATATTCTGCTACGGGAGTCTTTTTGGGTTGGGGTTGAACAGCTATCATCTTATAAGGAAGATATCTTTTGCAGTGGTTATTTCTTGACACTCTTCTTTGTAAAGATATAGTAGGTTTGATGGATATCCATACTTGAATAAAGTATACTTGCACATCTTTCATGTGATCAAGAGAAGAAAATCTCAGGGTTTTGTCATCCATTCTACTCCACTCTCTTCTTTAGGAGAGAAAAGTGAATCGATGTTCCATTCATTTTGTGTAGAAATACAAACTTTATGCATCACAACATCTCGTTGACTTGATAACCTTGGAAAGACATTCACTAAAGACACGAATATTATAACCTACTAAACCCCAATTGGAATCCAATATTTCTCCTCTCGCCATCAAAACCAAACAAAGATAATGTCCAACACTTTTCATATGTAATACTATTCCATTTCCTAAACGTATGGTGCACCAACAACTCGAGTCTTGAAAAAAGTAACCACAAGACGAAGAAATATTCCAGTGATCCAAAATAAAAGACTCTTCTCCAACGGGATGACTATCTTGAATAGAATCCTCCTTTGTATGGTTTCTAGGGTTTCCAAAACTATAAATTCCACTAATGTCTATAGCTACTTCAATCATATCTGAACAAAGCTCAAAGTCATTTCCATGAACTGGTGAAGAATCCGTTGCTACAACTAATTTAGAAACAGCATCAAATAGAAAAGCATTCTCTATGCCACTATAACCAACAAAAGTATCTAAAAGTCGTTCCAAAAGACAAGTCTGTGGATGCAACTTCTCAAGGACTTGAGAAAATGCTTCATAAATGGAATGATCAAATATGGAAGTAAGGCGATAAGATACTTGACTAACCACTCGATCCAATCCAATATCTCGTAACTCCCCATCCACATGTTCCTGAATCTCTCTTTGAAAGGATAACTTTTGTTCATCCGATAGAACATCTGTCTTATGAATAAATACTTCCATATGAATTTGCGGATTGACATTATAGCACCTGACGATAGTTTGATGAAGTAACTGCAAAGTCTCATCTGGAGTTTCTGTAGTAGTATCCAAGACAAATATAAGAGCTGAACAAATACTAACTATATCTTCCAAAGAAGGAGAACTTTCTGAATCACTTTGTAAAAGTTCAGGAGGTAAATCCCAAAGTTCCAACTGACAAAAGGGGCTATGACTGACAACATGTTTTACAATACGACCCGTGCTTTCTAAGAATAGAGTTTCGTGTGGAGAAATCTTGTGGAAAATAACACTATGAATGCTCGTTTTACCTGATCTTGCTAAACCTCCCAAAGCTATATTACACTTGTTTGTAGACGAAGGAGATGCTTTGCTTGACTGTGAAAGGGCAGAAAGAGAACTTTCAGTTATCACATTGCCCTTCACTTTTTCTTCTTCCGGTACTGAATAGGGACCCAAGTCTTTAGCATACTTTGTATAGGAACTCACAGTTGCTTTTAAACTATGCGTATCTCGGTCCATCGTTGTTCAGGAATAACAGTTTACAAATCCATCATTATTGATGATGGAAATGTATATCTCATTCGTCTTTATATAATCGACTAACAAAAAAAAATTGAAATCGCTACAAGTTATGAATAGCCCAGTAACCAAACCAAACAAGCGCTATGGAAAAACCGAGAGCTACGGCAATCATCCAACGATCATCACTCATCCTCGCTACTACCTTGTTGCCTTGCTTTTTAAAAAATCTGCGTTTAGGAGATCCACAGAGAGGGCATCTAAAGAGAAAAGAACTTGAAACATATGACGTGAATGATAAGGAAAAACTTACCTCCAGTTATCAGGCAAGTTTTCAAAAGCTATAGAAGCATCATCAGGGTAAACATATCCACAATCCATACAAACCCATTTTCCTTCTACAAATACAACTGGCTCTCCTTCGGCTCTAGCTTTGGCAACTGCTCTCGGCATTCTTGGCTTGGGAAAACTATTGTTATTATTATTATTACTACTGGATATCGAACTTGAAGAATGATGAGTAGAGCTCTATGCAGATAGGTAAAAAACTGGATATTCATTATATTGTTCAAATACACACCTGGCTACGTTCCTTTTCTTCTGAAGAGAAACCATCTTGTTCACTCAATATTTGAAGAGAATTCCTAGAATGGCTGGTATGAAACTCAATATTTGGTGAAAAGATAAAGCACGGTGTGAAAGAAGCTTTCTCTACATGAATACTTCCACTAGTCCAATCTTTTCTGCAAACAAAGCGTTGGTTCTTCAGCAAATGATTAGACTTGCTTCTCTGGTACCCAACAAAATAATAATACTGGTTACTAATCTGATTATTCGGCAGAATAGCAGTTCTATTTGCACTATTTTTTCGTGTAGCGTAAATACAACCACGACAGGAAATACTAGGTACATAAAAATATTTTCTATTCGTCAATATTAGCTGTGAAGAAGTTGGAGTAACTACAAAACTTGCAACGTCCATACAATTCATCTACAAATAATAATGAATGGTTAAAAATGAATCATTCATTTGATTCTAAAAGAGCGATTTTCTTTGATGGAATGTGACCCATCCATAAAAATAAACGTGTCTTCAACAAAATGTTTTTATAAACAATCCATGTATCTTTCTTCTCACAGGTCCTCTTTTATTTTAAGATAGAAAACCAAGCTTGCTACCATTCGTCTTTGCTAAACGAATCAGTCCTTGCCTCAGCCTTGCATCCATACCCACATACTTACAAAACTCAGTGATTACCTATTCATATCATGGTTAACTTGTTCCACGAAAGACTGTGACACTAACTTGAGAGTGGAGAGCAATGGCCCTTCCTCTTATCTTGTTGAATCTATCCTTCCCTAGTACCCACCTAGTCACGTATACAACTGGAGTAAAAGGACCAAAGTTGGAAACCTTTCCCATATATACTTCGATAGCAGATTGCTTAATTCTTCGGCGACCAACTAATATGCCTTTGTTGACTCTCAACGTATGCGGACAGCAACTAGAAGAAAATTGCGAACTAAGCAAGAAAATAGAACGAATAGAGTCCTTAACGGCAAAAGTCGATATAAAATTACAGTACGACATGTATTCAATGAAAATTATTTTTTGTAGAGGATAAAGTCAATAGAATAAACAAAAACACACTGCAGCACAATACCAGTCGCGTCTGAGATTAAAGAAAACCTCCAAAAATGCCTTTCAAATTAAGGCCATAGATCCCATGTAGAGTAGAAGTTCTATAGCATACTGATTGCAAAAATAGTTTTTGACTAAACTAGAAAAAATATAAAAGACAAAAAAATTTTATTCAAAATATTATGAGGAGCCAAATTACCAGTAAATATCGATAAATACAAAAAAAACAAACATAAAAATCATCTAGAGAGAAATTTCAGCTTGTAAATGTTTTCGCCTTTTATTTTATCAAAAGTCAATATTTTAAGCGAAGTCAATACGCTAAAATAGAGTAAACGCAATTTACAACGTAAAAATCCAACAAAAAATTAAATTTTGATGCCATAACCAAGCTTTTCACGGAAAGCATAAAAATTTAAAATAATTGACCAAAATAAAATCACAATTCAAACGAATTATCTTTTACTTGAAACAACAATGATCTGCATAAATGTTAGTATTATGATAAAAAAACTCTATCTGAAAATGATCTTTGTCGTCTTGGAAGAATACTCCAACTAAACGATTATGGGGAATTTTAAGTTTTTTCTTGATATTTTCAAGCTAACAAGTCATATTTATTTTTTTTAAGTTTTTGGTGTTTCGGTACACAAGGTCTAATTTCGATCATAGTGAGGCATGGTTCTTGAGCTTAATTTTATGTTTGCTAATTAATTTTTTTATGAATAATTTTTCAAGACTTAATCATAAGAGTGTATTTTTCTTATTTTCGACAAAAGTTTGTGGATTCACTTGAAGTTTTGATTGCATTTTCAGATAATATTTTATTATTCTCTTTTGCGTTAGCTTTGATTGTTTTTGGATTTAATCTCCTGTTTAATCTCAACGTGTTGATTTTCTATTTTTCAGGACGCATGTGACTTAGTTTGTCCTATGGGGAAGGTTAAACGTGGTGAAGATGCCGATTTTGAACTAGCTCTTTCTATTCATCGGGAGGAGAAGTAAGTAATTCCTCATGTTCGAAATACTTTCTTTTGAAGCTTCACAGCTCTCGTGACACACGTTTCCGAAGCAGAGAGGCAAAAAATGTGTCTTCTCCTGGTAGTAGGCTCTATTCTTCTTATATTTTCTGGCTATTCACAAGTATGCAGGTGGATCTCTGTTGGAACAGTCATGGAGTAGTGGTACCTTAAAAGGTCAATACGTGGAGGACGATATCGATCTGAGTGCTCTCCAAAACGTGGTTATTTATCACAGAGAAAAAGAGTTCTTTAGTTTCCTAGATACTGCGAACGAAACAGCAGTTGATCAGAGGTTTCGCGATGGTGCATATATTAATTGTGACTTACGTTACTTTAATTTACGCTATCTTCGCGAGAAATTGGGAAGTTTTGATGTGGTTTTAGCGGATCCGCCTTGGCGTATACGTGGAGCTGAAAAGAAATGTTCTAGCGATGGTATCATGAACACCATGTTTAGCAACAGTCGTTGGCAGGTTGTAATGGATTTTAGTTGAAGTGAAAAAGTGAAACTGTTTATGTCATAGTTGGAATATCGTACTCTTTCGTTTCAAGATATTAGAGATATGGATATTGGTTGTCTTTCAGATGAAGGGTTTCTTTTTCTTTGGGTTGTCAAGTCACAAGTAGCTGCAGGGTTGGAATGCCTTGGTAAATGGGGTTATGATTATGTGGACCTCATTACTTGGGTAAAGACGGTAATAAAGTTATATAGATTAGTCGAACAGGATAACTATGGTTAACTTGCATTCGTGATTTTTAGAGAAATCGCAAATTACATATCAGTCATGGATATCATATTCTTCATTCTACCGAATTGTGTTTAGTTGGTTTGAAAAGTGGACCCAATACTCGATTTCGTTATGTAGGAAAGGTTGCCAACGATGTTATTATTTCGAGTGTTCGAGAACGAAGCAGAAAACCGGATCAGTTGTATCATATCATCGAAGCCATGGTAAATGACCTTTTGTAACAACACATTGACAGTTGGTTATGTTTTGTAGTTTCCAGGTTCTCAAAAGATAGAGTTGTTTGCGAGGAACCATAATATTCGTCCTGGTTGGCTTAGTCTTGGAAACGAGTTGGGTGAGAATTATGTTTATTGGCACAACGAGTTTACTTGTGATCGTTGCCAGAGACGTATTACGACAGGACGAAGGCGTTACAAGTCACGAATTAAGGCCAATTATGATATTTGTGAAATTTGTTGGCCAGCATATTTATCCGAACATGCACAAGATGGAATAGCAAGTCAAGAAGCTCATTTTTTTGCTTTGGAAAATGTTGTCGAGGAGGCTGTTTATCACGAGTATTTTGAATGCAATATGTGCAAAGTTGGTAAAGTTACTTTTTCAGTATAACTTTCTGTTGTTCTTTAGGTGACTCCTATTTGGGGTGTTCGTTTTAGTTGCCAAAATTGTGAAGAATATGATTTGTGTGAAGCTTGTTTCGATAAGAGTCTTTTGCATGAAGAAGGAAAAAAGCATTCGCTATTGCATACTTGGAAAGCTTATGAGCTTCCTCAGAGTGCGGGCGACCTTCCCGTCCATCGAGGAGCTCGTTGTCAAGGATGCTTACAATATCCAATCATTGGATATCGCTTTCACTGTTTGGAATGTGTTCCTACAGTTGACTTGTGTCAAAAATGTTTCTTTGCCATGAAACTTCCGCGTTCTCATACTTTTCAACATGAAATGGAAGCTATCATAACTCCTTCTGCCTCAGAGTTTCGTCGACATACTGCTTGTGCTGGATGCAAAATGAAACCTATTGGGTAAGTAATATTCTTCTTTGTTCAGTGGAAATGGGTCATTATAAGAAATGGTTCACAGAGGAAATTACTGGAAATGTGATAGCTGTTTCAGTTTCGAACTGTGCGATGAATGTTATCAAAACAAAGTAGTTACTTGGAGCTATCCTGGACATAAGGCACATCACAGTTTTTCGATGGTGATCCAACAAGAGGGAAATAGCGCTGCTGCTTTACAATTGAAAGAGTCTCCCTTGTTAGAACAAGAAACGACTTCACCAGTAGTAACACCCACATCGTCCAACTGGATAAACACCCCAACCAACGAATGACAACTCTATTCAACGATGTTCAATGAAAAAGCCACAAGGTTACAAATAAAGCTTCTTCTTTTCGATTCCAACGAGGTTCATCCAACAAGGTTCTTTAATCTTGCTTTGCAAATAGCACTGTATACATCTTCGCAACAGAACGAAAGCCACGCAAGTCACCAGCTCTCAATAAGTTACCAGCGTCACAATTGAGAGGACTGTCAGGTTCTGGATGAGACAGCAATACCAAAATGGCACGACAAACAGACTGTAACGTCCATGCAGGACTCCAAGTGGTTTTTAGAATATCCAAACAGATTTCTCCAGTCTAAAAAAGGTATGAACACGGCTTCCAAGAGGTTAACGGTAAGGCTGTGAAACTTACTTTGGCGTGAATGTTGGGATGAAATATCTTAGTTTTCAGTCGAACGGTGGGTGCTGATAAAGGGTAATTGTTGGGAATACGAATTTCCAAAACAAAAGTTCCACCCTGAAACAAAACCTGTTGGGTTTCCTCAAGGATATACTATATTTCTTACCTCATAAGGTGAGTCGACAGGACCTTTCAACTTTGCTTGCCAGTGCAACAAATTATCGTCAGTTGGATAAAGAAAGATATCAGGGTCTTGTTTCTTAGCTTTTTCCAACTCTTCCCATTCTTTATATAAACGACGAGATGGCGCCATTCCACAACTTTTTTCTCCCAATTTGAGGAATTCTTATCTAGAAATTTCTGCAATTGTTTGCAAGTTTGCTTTCTTCCTTAGAACACTATGGCCCTGCGTGGTCAAGGTGATAAAAGATGGATTGTAGAAGAAAGAGAAGATGGAACCAACGTGAATCATTGGCACTGGAACGAATACGACGTTAGTAGTTGGGCTGCCAAACGTTTGAAGGAAATGCTTTCTGGTAGCAGTTGTCCACTTGTTTCACCTTGGTACTTCCGAATCAATTCTACAGAGCAAGTACATGGAGAAGCTACGGTATATGTACGAAAAGGACGCGTGAAGAGTTTATGTGATTTGGAAATAACAGGACAGTGGTCCGTTGTGCAGGCCAAATGTTCGGAAGACGAAGAGTGTGTACAAGGCACTTTTTCCATTGAATTGTTATCAGGAGAACCAGAGGTAGGTATTGTTATTTTTCGTAAGGAAGATGAGGTTGACATATGATTGAATAGATAAGTTTGACAGCGACGACAGGGGATAGACAGAAATGGGAAACTTCTAATTGGGAAGTAGAAGCAAAGAATTGGTTGAGACAGGTTTTGGTAGACTTTATCGAACAGTTAGGTGCAGGTGCTAATTTGTCCATATCCAAAAATAGAAACATGTCGGAGGACGAAGTTGTAGTTGGACAACCACGTGCTCAAAGTAACGACAACACTATCAGGAACCAGGCAGAAACAATCGTTCAGCCAAAAGTAGAAGAGGAATCCTCCGTACTTGCGTCAAAGGACCACGTTCACGATCAACTATCGAGTAGAGGAGTCGCTATTAAAAAATTGGAACTTTGGGATAAGTTTCGTGCTTCACCCAAAGATCTGTATGACTGTTTTGTTTTAGCACCCAAGATACAAGCTTATACGAGACAACATGCCGAAATATCTCCCCAAGTGAATTGTGCCTTCTCACTTTTACAAGGTATTCGTGTCAGATGTTACTTGTAACAATGTTAACTTGATGACAGGTCAAATTACTGGTACGATTGTATCTTTAGAACCTGAAAAACGAATCGTCCAAGAATGGAGAATGAAAGATTGGCCTTCAGGTCATTATTCACGAGTAACAATAGAACTTCAATCTAAGGTACGTTTGAAGGAATACAAGTTTTCTTCTTGTAACTCGTTTTCTTATGGTACATTCATTGATCTGTACATAGGCAGAAGAGGGATTGACTCGTCTTCATTTGATTCAAGAAAGTGTTCCTGAAGACTATGCCCAACAAACAGAACAAGGTTGGAGACAGCATATCTTTTTACCCATCAAAGTAGTTTTTGGTTATGCTCCGGAAATTCCTTTTTGAATATATAAAATATCTTTTTCATTCCATTTCGTCGTTAGGAGTACTATACTCTACTTGGATAGTATTGGATAACGACATTTGTTGTTGCCATGTCAAATAAAGAGCGACAAGAAGATTGAGAAAACAAACAGCGGCAATTCCGACGATATCTATAGTAAATGAGCCAGTTTGTGTCTTGACTATTCCACCCATCATGGAACCTATAGCAGAACCTAAATAATGCAAAGCTGACAAGGAGTTTTGAGAAAACCCTAAATGACCGGTTCCAATATAAAAAGGAACAAGTGCATACAAATTATTCCATAGACTTCCTGAACCCAAACCAAATAAGATAGAAAAAGAAACCAGTTGTCCTATCCGATTCGTCATTGTCCAATACGGTTTCTCTTCTTTGCCAGTAGATTGTCTTTGTAACAAACACAAAACCCCCATCAACATAAGAAATGAACTGGCCAACAATGTTTTGAATCGACTTGAATAATCTCCAATTATACCACCTAACAATTTACTAACAACTGCACAAGCATTCATAATGGATAAGAATATTGTTGCTTTTTCATATGTAAATGATGCATCTTCATGAAGATATGTCACCAGATAATCGAATGGAAAACTTTGAGAGTAAGCCAAGGAGAAATATTCAAAGCCCAATAGCCAAAAAGAAGGCGAAAGCAATAGTGATTTAAAGTCAGTTGCTGAAACCAAATTAGTATTGATAGAATGATGGACGGAAGAAGATGCAGTATCTTCATTCATAGAAGAAACTAGAGTCCCTTGTTGCAAAGTCAAATATGCCAAAGGTACAATAATCAAAACGAAGAACAAAAAGGAGAAAAACACAGTAGTTCTCCAACCAAACCATTCCAAAAGGGTCCCCAAACCTACAGGAAATAACACACCAGCCAAACTGAAACCTGATAAAACCAGTCCTATTGCTGTTCCTAAGCCATCTCGAAACCATGAAGAGACCAAAACGACAAATGCAGCAGTTCCACACAACGCATTGCATAGAGCATATCCAATATTTATGCATACAAGTTGCCATACACTGGTTATCCAACTATAACAAAAGGATAAAATGCAAGTAAAACATAAACCGGTGAGAATACACTTTCTACAACCATATCGATCCAATAACAACCCTGCAAAAGGTAAGAATAACAGGTTTGCCACTTTATAAGTGTTTAAAGGCAACACTACCAGGGAAACCGATAAATGCAAATCTTCACGTACAGAGGATAATATTACACTAGGCAATATGTATACCAAGCCAATAAAAAAAGCGTGACATATCGTAGCACCCAAAGTAACGTTCCAACGAGAGCTGTACATATCAACTATCTCTCTCTACACAAATCCACTAAAATTTCAGAAATGGATTAGGTCTTCACTTATCGGAATAGTCATTGAAATTTCTAGTGTCTATGAATATCATTTAATACTTATGATGAAGAAAGAATGGAGAATGATATTCGTTATTTATTCTTATGTTGACGTTCTTCATTATCTCGCAATAGTGATGAATGATGAAGGGATTGAATTGTCATCTTATTATCATCTCGATAAAAGTACAGTGCTGTACTAGTATCAACTTTCCCAACAAGAGTAATTTACCAATATTGTTAAGAATATAATTCATTCTTTGAAAAAGTTTGTTGTTCAACAGTTTGTCTCTTTTTATATGAATAATTTATGAAGAAAAATGCCAAGTACTAAATTGTACTAGTGCGCCACTTTTCAGTGGAGATTGTGTGTGATAAATATTCTCATGTGGAAAACAAGTATTTTTCAAAGATACAGGAATCGAATCGCAAGTTGGAAGTATTTCTTTTCTACAACTTCAAGGGAAAGTAGCAACAATAATAGTAAGGATATCCAAGCAGGACATACCATGAAGAACCCCCCTGGAGAACGACCTCTACCAAAGCAATGGTTACAAGTTGCAGCAAAAGAATTGAAATGTTCAGAAGAAGAAGTTATGAAGAAGTTGGTTTTGACATATCCAGAAGGTATTCACGTTAAACCAATTTATACTGCAGAGGATATCGATTGGGATGCGGTGAAGAGTCAGTTACCCGGTTTTTATCCTTTTACTAGAGGCATTCACGCCTCCATGTATACAAACAAACCTTGGACTATTCGACAATATGCGGGTTTTAGTACTGCTGAAGAAAGTAATCGATTCTACAAACAGGCTCTTGCAGCTGGACAAAAAGGTCTGAGTGTTGCTTTTGATTTGGCCACTCATCGAGGTTATGATTCGGTGAGTGCTTTGTTTTAGGAAGTTTGGTGATATGAATATAAGGATACATATTGATGGTAGGATCATCCACGCGTCAAAGGAGATGTAGGAATGGCTGGAGTAGCCATTGACAGTGTAGAAGATATGAAACTCTTATTCGATAGCATTCCGTTGGACCAAGTAACCGTATCCATGACCATGAATGGAGCAGTATTACCCGTTTTAGCTTTCTATATTGTAAGAAAATGAAATAGTTTTAAAAAGTAACAGTAAATGAGAAATTCTTCGTAGGTTGCGGCTGAAGAACAGGGAGTAGCTAAAGAAAAACTCTCAGGAACCATTCAGAACGATATTTTGAAAGAGTTTATGGTCCGAAACACTTTTATATTTCCTCCACAGCCGTCAATGCGTACTATTGGAGATATAATGCAATATTGCGCACAAAACATGCCAAAATACAACACGATTTCTGTTTCTGGTTATCATATGCAAGAAGCAGGTGCAAATGCTGCATTAGAATTAGGATTTACTATTGCAGATGGAATAGAATATTTGAGAACTGGGATCCAAGCAGGCCTTTCAGTAGACCAAGTAGCTCCAAGAGTATCTTTTTTCTTTGGTATTGGTATGAACTTTTATGTAGAAATAGCCAAATTGAGAGCTGCTCGGAAATTGTGGGCGAATCTAGTGAAGGAGAAGTTTCAACCCAAGAATCCCAAGTCTCTACTTCTTAGAACACATTGTCAGACTAGTGGTTATTCACTCACTGAACAGGAACCATACAATAACGTGATTCGGTAGGTATTGAATGCCATGAAGAATGAGGATACTGAATAGATTGACTAGAACCACTATTGAAGCACTTTCTGCAGTTTTAGGTGGTACACAAAGTCTCCATACCAATTCTTTGGATGAAGCCATTGCATTACCTTCGGCTTTTTCTGCACGCTTGGCTAGAAATACTCAATTGATTTTACAGTTGGAAACAGGTATACCGAATGTTGCAGATCCCTGGGGAGGTTCTTTTATGATGGAAGCATTGACAGATGAACTCGCTTCTAGAGCAGAATATATTATACAAGAGGTAAGAGAGAAGGAAATGCTAATCAATCATTTGTTGCTTATTAGAAAAGGTGGAAAAATCAGGTGGAATGGCTAAGGCAGTTGCTCAAGGTTGGCCAAAGTTGTGGATAGAAGAGAGTGCTGCTCGTAAACAAGCTCGTATTGATTCGGGTGAAGAAGTCATTGTTGGAGTTAACAAATATCGGTTGGAGAGCTCATCTTCTGATACAGATTTCTCGAATCAACAGTCTGAAGAGTTGGAAATTTTAAAAATTGATGCTCAGCGAGTACGAGACTCTCAAATAGAGAGAATAAAAAAGGTTAAGAGCAGTAGAGATGAAGAGAAAGTAAAACAGTGTCTTGCTGATTTGGAAATGGCTGCGAAGGATACTAGTAAGAATCTATTGGAAGCTTCAGTAAATGCAGCTAGAGCCAGATGTACTTTGGGAGAGATTTGTGGCTCTTTGGAAAAAGTGTGGGGCAGACATGTTCCTAAGGATGATGTTGTTAGTGGCGCCTATCGAGGTTCTTATCGCGGAATGAAGAAAGATGCCGGATCGAAACAGGAAGGATATGATTTAGAACAAGTCATTGAGCATGTTGTTCAGTTTGAAGAGCGAATGGGTCGTCGACCACGTATTTTAGTAGCTAAGATGGGACAGGATGGACATGATCGAGGCGCCAAAGTTATAGCTTCAGGATTTGCTGGTATGTAAGAATACTTTAGACTCGAGAGGCTGTTGAATATATGTTTGAATAGATTTGGGTTTTGATGTTGATATTGGTCCTTTGTTTTCGACGCCTCAAGAAGTTGCCAAACAAGCCATTGAAGCAGATGTTCATTGTATTGGTGTTTCTAGTTTGGCAGCTGCTCATTTGACTTTGGTGAGAGAATCATTTTGAGTTGCAAAACAATTCATTATCTCTTTGGTTAGGTTCCTGAACTTATGGAAGAACTACAAAAGCAGTCTGCAACCCATATCAAAGTCATAGTTGGTGGAGTCATTCCATATACAGATTATGACTTTCTAAAGAAGATTGGTATCAAAGTCATTTGTGGACCAGGAACTCGTATTCCAGATGCCGCTATGCAAGTACTGAAAGCTATCGAAGACGAACCTATCAATGGAACGAATAATGGAGTAGAACAAACATCTTAATGTTCTTGGTCATGATTAAAACAGTGTTTAGTTTTCCAACATATCGTTTCATAAAAACTATGACGATCAACCCACAATAGAATCATGCACGACTAGTATTATTATCAGTTCTTTTCTTTTTCTTTTTAGGTAATTCTTCTTCTTCCTGTTGACTAGACCAACTCTCCAAGTTATCCAGTCGTTGTACAATGCTCTCCACCAGTCTATCCTTATCTTGTTCTTCCTCCCTTATTTGCAACAAACTGGCTGATTCTCTCACTTTGTCCAAATCCCATTGTTTCAATTTACTTTCCAAACGTTGCAGACTGAAAGCATCCAACGGTTGACGAATAGAAAAATTCAACAGTCTATCTTTGAGTCCATTTACATCGGTTACACTACTACTTTCCACTCCGAACAATTCACATAACAACAACAATTTCTCTCGACCACTTTCCCCTTGAATAATGGAATATACTGAGGAAAAGTCTCGCAAACAACTGGAAGAACAAGGGCTAGACTTCACCAAAGTATCTAGAGAAGATATTCAAAGATTCTTTTACGACAAGTTGTTGAATATCGTTACCTTTCTGTTTTCTCACAACTGGTTCTACTTTATAGCTGCGCCGTTGTTGGTGTGTTTCTCCTAACCATTCCTCACTTTGAATAATACCCTCTTTATTGCCATTTGTATAGTCAACGGTAGGATAGGCTTCCACCACAACAGTGTCTTGGTCAAATAGTTCTTCTCTTTTGTCTGGTTCTGTGTAACTTTCTGCTTCAACGAGTTCTTCGGGTGATCCCACGGTCGGTTTTCCGTATTTACAATTCACCGTGTGCATTCTGGAGGATGCTATAGGAATACTTACTGTGGGTTCATTTTCACACAACACTACACGAGTGAATGGGGCCACATACAGTTTCCTAGAGGCTATACTTACATAAAGAACTTTCATAAAGACTGTCTTCGTCTCCATTTTCAGTTTTCGAAGAAACATGTCCTTCATATTCCAGCTCCATTAAGTTGGGGTGTTTTGAACAATACTCGAAAAGTATGTCTCTCTTATGCCAACAACTCAATCAATTCTCTTGTACCCCACTTATCACCAACCAATCATCATCGATTCTACATGATATGTTCTTCTGATGGATCTTATATTCTTATTATTTATGAGAGTCGGCGCTTTGATAGGATTGGAAACAATAGCGTAGAAGATGACATATGTATCTTTCAAAGCAATGAATGACCTCTCTATCTGTTGTGATTCTAGAAGAACGAGAAATTTCCTCATTTCCCTCATCGTTTTCTGTTCGTTGACTGAATCATCATGCTCCATTCTACTCCTTGGATTACAAAACCTTTGGCTATACCTTGGAAACTCAACCATCACCACACAGACCCAAAGTGTAATGCTTCACAATTGGAAAACAGCACTCAAGAGTCACTTACTCCAGAAGAGTTATCAGTTGTTGAAATATTTAAGCAAGCCAGGCTCTCCGTAGTCCACATCATAGCGTTGGAGTCAGCAAGAGACTTGCTTAAAAAGGAATGGGAAGGAATATTTGGGCTTCCAGGAGAAGAACAAAACCCGAGAGGTGCAGGAACGGGTTTCGTTTGGGATAACCAACACGTGGTAACCAACCATCACGTCATGGCGGGTTCCAAAGAAGCCAAAGTGAGGTTTTTTGACTCGACCGAGGAACTGGAGGCAAAACTGGTGGGTACAGATCCCGACCACGATATTGCATTGTTGCGTTTGGTTCAGTTGCCAGAGATGGGTATGGTGCCTTTGACGAGAGGCATTTCAGAAAACCTATTGGTAGGTCAACGTGTCTATGCCATCGGAAATCCTTTTGGGTTGGAGTATACACTAACAACAGGAGTTATTTCGGGATTGGGAAGAGAAATTGCTTCGAGAGTGGGTAGACCTATGTTTAATATCATCCAAACAGATGCTGCTATCAATCCTGGCAATTCAGGAGGACCACTGTTGGATTCTCGAGGAAGACTGATTGGTGTGAATTGTGCCATTGCTTCTCCTTCAGGAGCTTTTGCTGGTATAGGATTTGCTATTCCTGTGGATACTGTAAAAAAAGTAGTGGAACAGATTAAGCAGTATGGAAGAGCTATTCGACCTTCTTTAGGAATTTTCTTTGCACCAGAACAACTTGGAAGAAGATTAGGTTTAGAGAAAGGTCTTTTAATTCTCTATTTACGACCCGATGGTCCTGCACAGAAAGCTGGTTTATTAGCAACGAAGAGAGAAAAAGGTTCTGGAAGACTTATCTTGGGAGATATCGTAACCAGTATTGATAAGCATTCAGTGAATCGTGCTGTTGATATATATCGAGTGCTGGAAACTATGAATGTTGGAGATGAAGTTGTTTTGGAAATTATTCGGGATGGTCAAAGGATAGAGAAGAAACTAACTTTGGAAGAAATGGTCGAAGATAATAAGCAAAAGGGTTCCGAATGGTTTCATAGACGACAGTTGACTAGTCGTTTATAATTTTATTTGCGAAATAAATCATAGATGTGTTGTACAGCCGTCTTGTTGTCTTAAAAATTATTCTAATTGGAACAAGTTACAAGTTTGTAGAAAATGTAACCACTCATTCACTCTTGAATGATTTTCCTGTTTCCAGTCCTGAAGCAAAAAGTACAAAGTATAGTAAAATGTTTGGCATCGAGTATCCGAAATATTTTCCTTGAGCAATACCAACAAGTCATCATGACAACGATTTTTAGCCTTTTCTAAGATAAGATAAAGCAACGTTCTCAAAGAAGGAGTAAAATGGGATAAATTCGGTAAAACTCGGAAACAAGATATCGACATCGTTCTTTCGAATATTAGTTCTCCTATGTAACTTGACAAGTTTTTCAATGGAGTGGATGACCATTTCTCTCCTTGTTCCATTCTCTTCCAAATTTGCCATAATGAAAATTGAAAAGCTTTCTTATATCTCGACGAATAAACACATAAACGCTTAGTCAGTGCCACATAAAAGGTATTGAATTGTCGTTCATGACAACATCCGAATATCACCATATTGGCAATTTCAAGTAATAATGATTTCCTTTTTCCTCCATAGGCAACGAGTCTATGTTCAGCATCAACGACGTCTTCAGATGTCATGATCATTCGAAATATATTGCGACGTGTATCCGTATTCAGTCTTTGCAATCTAACAAATTGATCAACAGAATCCTTTTCCTCTTGCTTGATTTGGCTAATCTCCTCCTCTTTCTTGATGGAAAGCTTCGGACAGTCAGCTTTCAAAAGATCTTTCTCCTCTTTACTCTTGTCGTTATAAAGTATGCGACCATCTTGCAACTCTTTCAAGGAAAATTGAAGACGACGATCAGTACGAAAAGATGACGAGGCTATCAGACTGGCTATCCACGGAAATGATGGGTTACTATCTTTGTTTACCAGTTTGTTATCTTTCCAATCATAAATCAATTCTAAAATCATTTCTAAACGAGTAGAAAATACTTTAGACATATGAGCACTCTTTCTTTGGGCTTCTGCATTTTCACGAATGTATTCGATGATGTGCTTCAAAGCTTGAGGATCATCCTTACGCAGTTCCACTCCACAACGTCGAATCATCACTAACAAACACTGGGCAGTTAGCTCCGAAAGATTGCTCGCAAAATAACGTATGAGTTCGTAAATCACTTGGCAATGAATGACTTGCAGCTTATAAAGCTCCATTACCAATACCAACAATGAAAATATATCCACATTGGAATCAGAATCTTGTAAAGCTTTAACATCCTGTGCATTTGATTGGTATGAAGATATTATTTGCTGCACCAATGGGTACACTAGACGAGTAGAGATAGAGTAGTAATCCCTAAAATGAAAGAAAGCTACAATTGCAGCAAAACTTGAAGCATACTTTTGGAAATAAGTAACTCAAGCAAAGAATTATAGTTATACATACCGGATGTACAGAAGACACCAAACTCGAGTGATTATTGAGCGATTCCAATAAGAGTCTGACTAGGGAGGAGTGAAAGTGTTCCCTTTCAGTTTCATCGGATAAAGACTCCAACAAAGCCTCCAAACTCCTAGCAATACTTTCTGCGTTGCCTTCCGAAACTCGATTCAAGAGAGCCCGAATCTTTCGTTGCAGTGGAACCCCGTTTTTCAAAGGACTTGGGTTTGCAGAGTTTTGTGTTTCAACTTTTGGGGTTGGTCGATGAGTTTTCTTCTTTCCTGATGAAGAAGAGAATACCTTCTTGAACAACGTTACAACCACTCTCGTGCTCTATCGAGAACAAACCTACCTTTGTCGGTGTCCGTGATACTTTTTGTTGAGGTCTTCTCTTGACCAGTTTACGCTCTTTTCTTTTTCTCTTTCGCTGTCGAAGAGCCCATAAACTAGAGTCTTTCAATCCAGTTGTCTTTGACTTGTCTTGTTCCAACTGTTTTCTTAAAGCAAAAGGCAATACCACTTGCTGCTTCATTCTCTGCTGCATTGCCAAATTCAGAATGATCTATAAAGTATCTTATCGTATGTCATATACACTAAATGATAAAGAATCGGAATACAACTAGACAGAAAGTACACATGTATTTCAAGTTACAATGAAACTTAACAACTATCTAAATATTTCTTCAACAATTTTTCAGAACAAGGGTTGGACAAGGCAATCTTCGCTTGTCCGCTCTTCTTTCTATACTGAATCATTTGTTGCCGAATATCCTTAGCCAACACTTTTCCAAGTTCTACACCCCACTGATCGAAAGAATTAATATCCCACAGGAATCCTTCCACCACAGTTCGATGTTCAAATATCGCCAAAAGTTGTCCCAATGCAAAGGCATTCAACTTGGTTAAGAGTAAAATTGTACTTGGACGATTGCCTGGGAATGTACGATGAGGAATTAGATATTCAGCAATTCCTTCCTTCCTACATTCTTCCGCAGTCTTTCCCAATGCCAACGCATCCGGTTGGGCAAACAAATTGCACATCAATTCATCATGTGCACTTATTTCATCTGTAGAAATATCTTGGTGACTGTGAATATATCCAATAAAATCGGCAGGTACAATAGTTTTTCCTTGATGCAATAACTGATAAAAAGAATGTTGTCCATTGGTTCCAGGTTCTCCAAAGTTGATAGGCCCAGTAGGAAAGGAAACCACACTTCCATGACGATCGACACTCTTTCCATTACTGACAACGTAGACTATAATAAGTCTATGAACTATGCAATGATGATGTACACGTACCTTTCCATATCGACTTGTTGAATATGGGCAGGAAAACGCAACAATGCCTGACTATAAGGCAGCAATGCTCGAACAGGATAACCTAGAAAAGTTCGGTTCCATACTCCAACTAGTCCCATTAATAGAGGAATATTTTGTTCCATAGGAGTATGGACAAAGTGCTGGTCCATGTCTTGTGCACCATCCAAGAACTCACGCATAGTATCGAATCCAAAGTAGAGAGATAACGGCAATATTCCAACTGCAGAGCAAACAGAATATCGACCTCCTACCCAATCCCAGAAGCCAAATGCATTCTCAGGATCGATACCAAAGTCTCTCACTGCTTCCAAATTCGTACTTACTGCAACCATATGATGGGAAATACTGTCCTCTGAAAGAGCATTAATGAACCACTGACGAATATTGCGGGCATTTCGCATCGTTTCAGGAGTCGTAAAAGACTTGCTTACTATGACAGCCAAAGTTTCCTCAGGATTCAAGCCTTGAATAACTCGAAAGTAGTCTACAGGATCAACATTCGATAGAAACCGAAGACAATAACCATCAGCAGCTTTCTTCGCTTCAGGATCCGAACGAAGCGCTTCATATACAAACTCTGGACCAAGATAGGAACCACCAATTCCTATAGAAATAAAGTTTTTGATGGGTTTGTTGGTGAATCCTCGAAAAGTTCCCTCACGAACGCGACAGACAAACTGTGAAATCTTGTCTAGGACTGCATATATTTCAACCATAACATTCTCGCCACAAACTTCGATTCTTTGATTCCGTTTTGCTCTCAAGGCAATATGAAGTGCCGCACGCTTCTCCGTGTCATTCACTTGTTCCCCTTTAAACATGGACTTTATCCTTTCCACCAACTGTCTCTCTGTAGATAACTGGAACAGGTGCTTCAAAACTTCTCTATCAATCTTCTGTCTAGATAGATCAAGTATGATGCCATTCTTTTCGATCAAGCAATATTGTTCGCGATGAGGTTCCCTTAGTTCAAATAAATAAGAGAAATACAAAACTAATTTTTCTTACGATATTAGGTCTTTCAAATGCACCTTTTGAATTTTGTTGGCTAGAGTTGCTAGAGTATCCCAAGTATTTCCGCTGGACATGTTGTATGACACCGTAACCTCAACAAATTCTTCTCAAAAGATGCCTCAGGGGCAAACTATTTGAAGAGGTCTTTGGATTTATCCGTTCTCCTCCTTTTGTAGGCCGTTGTGGAGTAGATTGTCTCTTGCAGCTCCTTGTGGATATTTCGACAACTTCTTCTTGTTTAGTCAACAAAAAGGGTTTCATCCATGCAACGTGTCGTAAAAGGGAGCAAGTCCCCTTCGGAGGGTTTGACCAAGAGTATTTACAGTGAAGTGACCATAAAGGCCGCTGAAATTGTAAACTTGGTATGCACCGTAAACTTGGGAGTCCGCAACTTGGACTTGAAAACCATTGCCATTAAAGCGAGAAACGCGGAGTATAACCCTAAGCGTTTTCAAGCAGTCATTATGCGTGTAAGGGAACCCAAAACAACTGCCCTCATTTTCAGTTCTGGTAAAATTGTGGTAACGGGAGCGAAAAGCGAAGAAGAGTCTAAGCGGGCTGCCAAAAAGTTTGTGGTAATTGTCCGAAAGTGTGGATATGAAGAGGCAAAATTTTCTGAGTTCAAAGTTCAAAATGTAGTTGGCACAAGTGCAGTGGACTTTCCTATACGTTTGGAAGCACTTGCCCAAGCACATACGCAGTTTTGTACATATGAACCAGAATTATTTCCAGGTTTGGTCTATCGTATGATGGAACCTAAGATTGTACTATTAATATTCGTTTCTGGAAAGTTGGTACTAACTGGTGGGAAAACAAGAAAACAAATAGATGAAGCTTTAGAAAAGATCAAAAACGTCCTTGTTACTTTTAAGAAAACAAGGTAAAGGGTTAAACGTGAATATTTTATCGCAAATTTTTCTCTTCTAGTTACTCTGCGGCTTGTGAAACACTCTTTTAGATAAAGTGCGCGAATTTTTTTTAAAATGTGTTTTGTAGCTTTTTTCTCTCTCCTTTTTGGCGCCTAATAAAAGAATGCACGCAACGCTACTTTCACTCTTCCAGAAATTATTGTTGCAGCACGAGCTGGGCGCATGTGGCCTGAGTGTGGTAAATAAGCTTTTCATATTACTTGTTGATGCGATTTCCTGTTTCTAGAAACGGCAAGTTATCTACTCTTTCTGAAGTAGCTTCTTCCGAGAGTGGTTTTGTGTCCTCTTACTGTGGTGATAACTCAGTTGGGGAGGACCTTGAGACATCGAGACGTGCAACTGTTCATTCGGAAAATTTCCGAAAATCTAGTTTCAGAAGGAGGAGTTCGAACTTCTTTCGAATGTTGGTTCGGTTACAGAACTTGAGAATGCTACTGTCCTACTTTGCTTATTTTGTGCGCTGGTTCACGAACAAGACGTGGCTAAGAGGGTTTTCACCAAAGGGAAGCTTGTTGAAGCATTGGAAAGAAGAGTTTTTTGTTGAACTAGTTCTGTTGAGAAGAAACTTTTGGTGGATATTTGTCCTGTTTTTTAGCGTTGTATTTCATAATTCTTGCTCCAACCTCGCGTACTATTTGTATAACGAGGCTGAAGCGTACAAGTTGGCACCACTTCACGATTGGGTCTATGAGTTTCTTCCAAAGTTTTCGAAACCGTCTATAGCGGAATGGATATGTAATGCTAGTTTTTACGTTATCAATTTGACGATGGTGGCAGTTGCTTTACAGCCCTTCTTTCGTTTGGACTATGTGTATAGTAGACTATCACAGGATATATTGCGTTCCTGTTGTTTTTCTCCTGTTACGGAGTTGGAGGATAATAATACGGACAGTGCTAGAGAAGGTAGCAGTGTAGATTCTTTTTGGTATAATGGCGGAGTTCGTATTGCTTCCATCCACATGATAAGGCGTTTTTCTGCTGCTTATTTTGTTGGTTGTTTATTGAGATGTACAAGTTTTTTGATGACAACACTACCAGGAACTGCCGCTCATTGTTTACAGGAACCATTGGGATATTACGATCCTAACAAAGCTCCTGGTTCGTGGAAAGATATTCTATGGAATACCAATTGGGAAACGAAATGTGGAGATTTGTTGTTTAGCGGACATTCACAACAAGGTATATTGGCGACTCTTATCATTCATCGTTATTGTTCTCTGCGCATTTTGGCATATCTAATGTGGCCGATTTTGCTCATTTTTGAATATACAATTGTAGTTACTCGGAGACATTATTCAGTGGATGTTTTAGTTGCCATGTATGTTATTCCGTTGGTATGGTATTGGTTAAGTCAATGTTCATTACTAGACGAAGCGAATGATCAATGGGTTGTAGAGAAAGTCCTGAATAAGATGAATTTGTATAGATATGTAAGGGACGACTCAGAAGCAGATGTAGTTGTTTAAAGAAATATTTAGATGGATATACCACCATTTTTTATTTTATAAAAACGCAAAACTTGTAAGGACTAAAGTTATTCGTGTTTACTTGCAAACGAGAGTGGTAGGCCCATTGTTTTGGCTATCGTTTCATAGTCTTCCGAATCCTTTGAGTGAGCAGCGTATTGTTCCTCTTCAGAGTGTTTCATGTCGGTTGAGTCCGATTCTTCTTGGCTCCTTATGATGGCCACATCACCATCTTTATATCGTGACAACTTTTCAATTCTACTCTTTACAGAGTCCACATCTACTCTTTCTACTCTTAACGACATACCTAAATTCTTTTGATGTATTCGACTATTGAGATGGTTTAAATAAGCATTGGAGTCTTTCTGTAACACTTTACATATTTCACAGTAGAAACCGCTATTCTTGTCTCTCAATGAGGAAACTACAGTTGCCTTTCCAACTCTTTTTTCAAAGTCCAACTGATAGTCTCTTCTTTCTAACCACGACCGAGTAGGTGCGAATGGGTCGTCTTGTTCCGGTTGCTTTGCTTTCTTAGCTCTTTCTCTTTCATTCTTTTCGTCTTGTTCTTTTTGTTCTTTCGCCTTTACTTCAAAAAAAGCCTTGTCCCAAGTTCTTCTACCTGTCACGTTAGAAACTCGTGCTTTTCCTTTATTCATTTCAAACTTTTTATAAACATCCATCCAGTCTTCCACAATTTCTGGATTGTGGATCCTCATTATCATGAACGGCTTTGTCCGATACTTCAAACAAGTCAAAGGATATTCCAAGTATTTACAAAATTATGCAGTCGATCAATTGGTATCGAGTCGATCACTATCCACTGCTTCACAACGATATACCGTTACCTTATTTCCCGGCGACGGTATTGGTCCCGAAATATCTAAAGCTGTACAAGATGTCTTTGCTGCAGCAGAACTTCCCATCGATTGGGAAGTATATCATGTTTCTACAAAGTCTGTAAAACCTGGAGAAGATTTGATTCCAAAGGAAGCTTTGGATGCTGTGAAAAGAAACGGTTATGGTTTGAAAGGTAAGCGATAAGACAAACTTTCAAAGACATATCCGCGTAGAGATTTATGTAGTTTTGGAGGATTAACTTTTATTATTTTCTAGGACCGTTGGAAACGCCCATCGGAAAGGGACACAAGTCACTCAATCTGACACTAAGAAAGGCACTTTCTTTGTATGCCAACGTAAGACCCTGTGTGAGTGTACCAGGAGTAAAGACTAAATATGGTGAGAGTATCCTTGATTATGATGGATTTGGCTTTTTATTTCTTTGGTTATAGAGAATGTGAATGTAGTGACTGTTCGTGAGAATACAGAAGGAGAATATAGTGGTTTGGAACATATTGTTTATCCTGGTGTGGTAGAAATGATCAAATTGATAACGAGACAAGCTTCTCTACGTGTTGCTAGATATGCTTTTGAATATGCCAAAAACAATCAAAGAAAGTAAGAAGAAAGTGATATATACTTTCTGAATGAAACCTCATTGAATAATATCATAGAATGGTAACTGCTGTACATAAAGCTACCGTCATGAAAAGAGCAGATGGACTATTTTTGGATTGTTGTCGAGAAGTGGCACAACAATATCCCAATATTCAATATGAAGAAATGTTGATTGACACTTGTGCTGCACATTTGGTACAGAATCCTTCACGTTTGGATGTGATGGTTATGCCCAATCTGTATGGAGATATCATAAGTGATTTATGTGCTGGTCTCATAGGTATATTTATTTCTACTTTTGTGACTCTTTGGGACAGATGGATGATCGTTATTTAGGTGGATTAGGTTTAACTCCATCAGGAAATATGGGTGAAGCTTGCATGTTGGCAGAAGCTGTCCATGGTACGGCACCTGATATTGCTGGAAAGAATGCAGCCAATCCTACAGCGCTGTTATTGAGTTCACTTATGATGGTTCGTCAAATGAAGCTCTTTGAAAAGGCAGATATCATTGAAAATGCAATCTATGATGTATTAAAAGAAGGAAAGGTAAATAGGAAAGAGTGTCTTTGTATGAAGAAGACTAAAACCTTCGAGGTACGTACGAGAGACTTGGGTGGAACAGCTACTTGTACGGATTATACTTTGGCCATTGTGGACAAAATTCGCAAGTCGCTTCAATAAAAAATAATAATAATCCCATTGTGTTTTGACCAAAAAGTATGGCAAGTTCCAGTCAACAACAACAACAAGAAGAAGAAGAAGACTCAAAGTTGGATCATATTTTGTCGCAAACACTAGAAGAGTTTTCAATTAGTGACAATGGAGTAAATGAAAGTGTTCCCAATAGCTCGGACCAAGATAGGAAGGATTATACTTCTTCTTTAGAACAAGTCTTAAATATGTTGTCCCAAGAGGAACAGACAAAAGGGTCCGAAGACTATGATCAATTGTTACAAAGTCTTGTTTCACAACTTTCCACTTTGGAAGGTGAAAAAGGAGGAGAAGAAGCAACAACTGATGGTAGACAAGAGGAAACTCAAAGTGGTTCAAGGGATTTTGTGGGTCAAGAACAGCGCAACACCGAAGACGACTTGGAGAATATTATGCAAGTCATAGTCAAACAATTATTATCCAGAGAAATACTACAGGAACCTATGGAACAACTTTATCTGCGGTATTGTTCGTGGTTGGATGAGAATGGGAGTTCCTCAGAAGACTATGAAAGATACGTACAACAGAAGCAATTGGTGTATCAAATATGTGAAGAATATCGTGGAGAAGGAGACACTGATACAGTCCTACAGTTGCTACAAGAAGTAAGTTGAGAAGTTGGTTGCTTGGTATATGCTAAGTTTGAGTATATTAGATGCAAAGTTTGGGTGCTCCTCCTCCCAATGTTATTTCACAAGTAGAAGAAGACAATGAATCAGTAGATTCGCAGTTGAGAGATTTACAGAATATTCAATGTCGTAATCAATAAGAGTGTCGTCTTATGGATATATATATATATATATATAGATAGATAGATAGATATATAAGAGAGAGAGTCTTTATACTCAAGTCCACTAAGGAAAATGAAAATGAGGAGATACAATATCTGCAATATCTTTGAACCGAACCAACTGTTTGTTTTTTCCAATTATTTGTTGTTGAAGAGAAAATAGAAAGGCAAACTCCTCATCATCGCAATGGTGGAAGCTGGCAACTATATCTTGTGATTTGGATTGTTTATAAGGTGGTTGAGAATAATAAGTATCAAAAAAGCTTTTAGGATCGACTGCAATGAAATGTGTTCCCATAGGAACTATTTGGATTCCTAGTTCTTGAAAGCAAAGACCAATTTTGATATCACCAGCCCAACAATCTTGAAACCTTTGCATACACCAAGGTATCATATCCATCAAAGCCTCCAAAGCCCAGTAATTGACAATTATTCCAGAACCTCCATGTGCAAACCAAGGATTGAGAGTTCCATTTGTCATACCACTTGGATCATAACCTTCACATAATGCTACATTAAACTGATTACCCATATAAATAGGAATCTCTTCTCTCATCGCCTGTTGAAAAATGGGATGTTGTAAGATAGCTGCCAAACCATCTAAGAAGAAGAAAGTATCATCGTCACACATGATATACCAATCCATATAAGGAAACTTTTTCCACAACATATGAAAACCTGGTAAATTCTTTTCTCGGTCTTGCCTATACTCATTTGAGAACCCATTTCTCTCTCTCTCTCTCTCTTATCACTTGTTTTATAACTTACCACCAACCAGTTTTAGTTTGGTCTACAGTTACTTCCAAAGTTTTCTTTTGACTAGAAGACGAAAGTAGCAAAGGTTGTCTATTTTCTAGAAAAGTTTCCAGCGACAATCCTACTGATTCGAACATTTCCTTCAACCCTACTGCATCATATCTAGAATCTGCCAGGTCACTCACAACCAAATAGTTCTTTGCTCTTTGTAGCCAAGTGTTATTGGGATTGGGAAATCTCTCTTCAATGACTTCCGCTCCAGTTTTAATAGCAAAAGCAACTCTACTGGACAGTGCCTCCCAATTAGCATCTTTATCACTTCCCAGGTTGGTATTGTCCACTTTATCCTCCAACACAGAATAAAAGAATCCATAATACAATCGACTTGCACTCCATAGGAGAGCCACTGCAAATATCAGTATGATAGAAATAAAGATATAGTTTCTCTTCAAAAAAGCTAAAACACGGAACTGGCCAGTTATCCCTTGTCCACGTCCCTTTGGCTTTTCTATATTTGTTGTATTGGCGGATATTTTGTTCATAAATTGCTTACTTTTCGAGTGACGGCTGTTCAGTTTTCCACTGGTCACTTTTTGATTATTCGTTGCATTGCGATGCATCAACGACTTATTCCCATTTTAGGGGAGCAAACTGAATGGGGTTCCTCATCCATGCTACGTGGAACGTATTGATTGGTCTTCTCAAAGGCTGGCTTGTCTCTTTGACATCTTATAGTGTTCATGGAAGGTGATCTATAGTAGGATGTATATGAAGGTCCATTTAAAGTTTCTTTCTTTCTTTCTAAAAGTCATTTTCTGAACAGACAAGTATTTGAAATAAAATGACAAGTTTATACAAAGACAGACAAAGAGTATATATCTTACTTTTGTAAAGCACAAAAACAAATCTGATAAGAGTCATAGACGTTGCTCTCTAAGTCTACTCCGTTATTCAGTGGAAGAAACGGTTTCACTCTTCTTTTCCACGTTAGACTCCAAACGTTGCCGAACTTGGGACAGGGTAGGCGACAAACTCAGATGAGAACACTCGTCACTATCTCTTACAGAAGAGTAACATCTTGTGGGGGTCACCGAAGGAGTGGCTTGTCTGCTCAATTCTTCTATTTTCTTTTCCAATTGCCTAAAGATACCGTCAGTACTAACCTTATCACTCCCCAATACTTAACTGTTTCTCTACTCTTAGTTCATCCAACTGTCGCTGCAAACGATTCACTATGAATTCTTGTTCTTGTTCTAGTTGATTTTCTATATTCACTTTTTCTCTACGTAACTGTTCCAGTTTTTGTTGCAGATTATTGGTCAGATATTCCTCTTCTTGTTCAATCTGCACTGCCAAGCGTTCTTTTTCTTCTTTCAACTCTGTTAGACGCTTTATCAATTTATTAGCTATATATTCCTCCTCTGCTTCAATATGAGTTTGCATAGAAAACGAGAGTTGTTTCATCTCTTTCAATTCTTGTTCAACTACTTTCCTCTTGTGTTTTTCTGCAAATAATTCAGCTTTGAGTTGAGACAACTCGTTCAAAAGTTCTTCGTAACTTGGCTTCTTTGCTTGTAGGTCTTGTTCACTATCTCCCAGTAGGTAACTCATTGTGCTACTTTTTAACACACAAGTCTCTCTTTCAAAGTTATGTGGACATGTCTTGAAACACTTGTGTTCAAACGAGTCTTGTTGGGCAAACCCTCCAACCCATAATACCACCACCACTACGCCTTCCACAAATCATCCTCCTCCAATCATTACTTTTCATTTTCTTTCTCCTCTAAAAGCATCAAGTCTTTACAATCTATATATTCTGTTCTTCTTATCCAAATGGATATTATAATAACCATGGGAATATAACAACAGAGAATCTTTCCAACTCAATGATCATCTTATGTTTTATTTATCCTTTCAAGTGTTTCCTCATCTTGTTTTGATACATGAATCTTGTATTATCTAAAAAAGTTGTATTGTTCTTGACAAGTTTTGTGATCAAAAAGAAATTCAAACTCTTTTTCCTTAGTTGGAATAGTTATTTTATTGATTAACAAGGGCCTTCGACATGTCCGTTTGGAGTCAAATATGTCAAACAACGGGTAACTTGTTAAGAAAGAGTGGTCAAGCTCTAGATAAAGTTGGAGAACAATTTCAAGGTGTTTATGCCTATAAAGAACTTTGTAAGTGTTTTTATTCTCCGATGGAAAATCATCATCTCATCTCGTTCCCTTTGTGTGTAGTGAGTAGGCACCACCGCATGAGAGCCATTCTTGACAAGAAGCCATTGCTTTCTAGTCAAGTATTTGTTGCACCTAATGCATCCGTGATTGGAACAGTCGAGTTGGGACCCAATAGCTCTGTATGGTATGGCGCAATCGTTCGTGGAGACGTTGCTTCGGTTAGTATCGGAGAAAACACCAACGTTCAAGATCGTGCTTGTATACACTTGTCAAAAGGTGATTCTATGTTTCAAGGTGGATTACTTAACAACTGCACAGAAACCGTGATCGGGAGCCGAGTCTCGATCGGTCACGGAGCTATCATTCACGGAGCTCATATACAAGACGAGTGTATGGTAGGTATGGGCGCCATTCTTTTGGAAGGATGTAAAATATCAAAGCACGCCATAGTGGGTTCAGGTAAAGACTTTCTTTTTTGAGGAATCAATCTTTTTAGTTTTCTAGGTGCGGTTGTTCCTCGCAAGGCAATTATTCCAACTGGAGAGCTTTGGGCAGGTTCTCCAGCTCGCTTTGTACGAAAACTACTAACGGAAGAAATTGATGCTATATTACAATCTGCTGAGGATTACACTAACTTGGCTGCAGCACATGCAGTGGAGTGTTCCAAATCTTTGGAAGAGATTGAATCCGATAAAATTGCCAGAAAGTTGCGGTCAGAGTTGACTGCCGATCATGCACCAACAGCGACAGATGAGGAAATTGAAGCCATAGTACAAGAGGAATTGAGCTTATTTCGGAAACAAGTGGAGAAGTATAAGCAACTTACAGCTTAAAAAAGTCTCTAAAGAGCAAAGTCTAATAATAACGTTTTGGAATGATATGGTTTGGAAATGATGATGATAAATAGAGAGAATATGGACAGTAGTCTTCTTGTATTTTGGTCTCTTTCTTTGTCCAATCATTGGATACTGCAAATCATATTTTATTGAATAGTTTATTTTTGTGGTGGCCAATCCACTATCCAAGGAACACTCGTATTTGATTTGTTCTTTTTGCTTTCCCCGTGTTTTTTCACCATTTCTTGAAAATGAAAATAATCTGATGGTTTCAAATGCATTGCGGAACAAAATGCTTTTTCCATGAGTGACAATTTATCATGGTCTTTCATAGCTGTGGTAATAGTCATCGGCTTCCAATCTGTGTTCGATGATGCAACAACTTTGTGAGGTGTCGATGATTTTTTCGTTTTCTTTTTCTCTGTATCTTCTCTTTGGCTCGTTTCACGTAAAGGAGAATGATTCATTCGTTCCAAATGTTGTTCCAATTCTTCCACACGACGCATAACTTGACTTTCAAACTCTTCCGCCTGTTTGAAATCACAAATGCCATTTGCTCGATAGGACAATAAACGAACCAGTTCACTTCTATATGCAATATCTTGTTTCACAAACTGTATAAAGCTGTCCAATTCCTCTTTGGACAAAAACTGACCAAAGTTGAAAAAAAGCTCCATCCATTTTCTATCTTCATTGCCAAGTTGTTGTAAGTCTTCCTTGAATTGGTTGGCATCATACATTTTCCATCTCAAGACTGCATCCTTCTTACGCTCTCTTTCCTGCAACTTGATATCATATATTTCCAACAGCTTCAACTTCAAATGTCTCTCTTCTAGAGTGTCATCTTCTACTATCTGCAGCTCTGCTATGGTTGCTTCTGCATTGTCATCATATTCGACGTCAAAGTCCTTCCGCTTTGGTAGAAAACCGGAAAGAATCGAGCTTTCATCTAGAGATACTTTAACTGGAGTGACTTCCTGTGTTGCTTGTTCAGTTTCTTTTGATTCTTGTGCACTTTCGGGTTCTTCTTGATCCTTCATAAAAGTCGCAGTGGCCGTCGTCTTAAAGTCCAAACTCGGAAGAGGCGCAGTAGCACTTTGGAGATAGACTTGATGGTAGTGTTGCTCACATTTGCTTTTGGATTTTGTTCGGACGTATTCAGACACTAGTTGCCAGTTGTGTAAGCCATACATGAGCATAGCGTCAAGTAAATTTTCTTCTTCCTCTGCTGTCCAACCTTGACAAAATGGGAACTCTGCGATATACGATATGACTCGATAAGGATGATACGACCGGTGAGGATATATTTCTACTCCAACCGAAAAACAAGGAAGACAAAAGTCAAAGTTTGGGCATTCTGCACAACGAAAGTACAAAGTGCGGGTAATATCCACTCCACAATAGTCACAAGTACACTTAGGGCCAACTTTGATATCTGTTCTGCCCGACCTTCTTGCTGCCAAAGGAGAAGATACAGGAACCACTTCTACTGACCTTTTTCTCTTTTTCTTGGAACTTGTGCTTTCCAACATGAACCACCACCAAAACACCCCCCCTCTCTTTTTGTGTAATTGATTTTGGATGGATACTAAAGACGCACCATCTGGAGAGTCTTTTAATAGGCAAAGAAAGAAGCGCTCCAGGTTTACAGACGCTCCTGACGACCAAGGTGACAATAATAAGTTAGAACTGGTGGAAAATGGCTCAACTTTTGACACCAAGCCATCTCAAAAGGAAACACCGGAAGAGAGGATTGCAAGACTACAGACAAGGATTGCGGCAAAGATGAAAGCTTCTAAAGTTTCGCTTTCCGAAAATTCCCTATCCCAAGACCCCGCAGATGCACAAAGGAAACAACAGCTGGAAGAGGCAGCACATAGGGCTCGAATGTTGGCTGAAAAATATGCACAAACTTATGGATACAACTTACAAAGTAGCGGTGAAGTTGACTCTTCGGTGAGCAGTGGGAATATTTCCAAACCATTGAATAGCACGCCAGGTGAAACTGTCCGCGGGCTTTCATTGGAGAAGATACCCACAAAGCCTGTAAGCACTTTGAAACTAAACGAAGAAACTTACAAGCAAAATCGTCTCAAGCGAGTGTTGAAAGTAGACAAGTCAGATTTCATTGAGACTGATCCAAGAAAGAACCCTTATTATGATCCACGAGTGAAAGCTAGTAATAATCGCCTTTTTAAAAAGTCATTGGAGTTTTTACCGGAGGGTTTTTACCAAGAAAAGGCCGAACGTATGAGAGAAAAGGCAGAGGCTGACGCTATGAGAGCTGAAATGAGACGTCAAGCAGCGTTGGCAAGTGAAGCTGGAGAGAATGTGGCTGCGGCTCTGTTATTGACTGAACAAAAATATTTTGAGGATCCTCCAGATGTCGAATGGTGGGATATTCCTTTTCTTTCCAATGAAACTTATGAAGATATTGTTAGCGGACAAATAAGATTGGAACGAATAAGTCATTATATTGAGCACCCGGTACCTTTAAGAACACCTCGTGATCGTAAGCAGACTCCCGTGATGCCTCTAATGCTTACAGAAAAGGAAAGAAAGAGATTGAGACATCAGCAACGTGTTGAACGTGCTAGAGAAGAACAAATGATGATACAGATGGGTTTAAAGGCACCTCCACCTCCAAAGGTGAAATTGAGTAACATGATGAGAGTTTTTGGAAATGAAGCCGTTCAGGATCCTACAAAAGTGGAAGCACAAGTCCGAGCACAAATGGAACAACGTAGACAGGAACATGAGGCCGCAAATGCTGCTAGAGCATTGACAGCAGAGGAGAAGAAGGAAAAGAGAGAGAAAAAGATAAATCAGGATCGTGACAGATTTGGTGTATGGGTGGCAGTTTTTCGCGTCATTTCTTTACAAAAACCTCAGCATCGATTTAAAATAGATCGGAATGCACAAGAATTACGTCTATCGGGATGCTGTATCATTTTTAGAGATTGCAATGTCATTGTTGTGGAAGGTAGCTTCAAGTCCATTCAGAAGTATAAAAAGCTATGTTTGCGAAGAATAAAGTGGACAGAGGAAGACCAAGACGAAGAAAAGCTGACGGGGAATGATATGACGTATCCTATGGAAGAAGAAATATCTGATACAAAGAAGTCGAATTGTTGTGTTTTAATATGGGAAGGCGCTGTGATGAGGCCTGCTTTTAGGGATTTTCGTTTTGCTACCATTCCAACAGAAGAAGCAGTTCGTTCATACTTTGAAAAGCATCGAGTAGAACATTATTTTGATATGGCCATAACTTATCCTATTCATGACTTGGAATTGATAAACCAACAAACCAAACAGGCTTTGAATATATAAAAATCCATTTTCGCCTTTTTTCTTTTGAATTGGCGCCATTTCTTCTTCCTCTTTTTTTTAGGAACTCAGCGCCATGAAACAATTATGTTTCCTAAGATCTTGAGTCGACACAAAGAATGGTTATCACTTCCACTCGCTTGGAAAGGTGGACAGTTTATTTTATTAAAGTTATCTTACGTACCCGACAGTTCTGCTCTACAAAAAGGTCATGTCGAAAGTACTGTAGCTTCGTCGTGTAATAATGTAGGATGTGGCTTCCTAGTGGAACTGGTTGCATATGTAGTAAAATACAGACATGTCTTTTCCCACACAGAAGATAGAAAGTACAATCAACCTCTTTCTATGGAAATACTCTCAAGGATAAATCTTGGTCTTTCTCAAGAAGATTTGCAGTTGAAAGTGCCGGAAGCTCCTCACTTTAAGATATTAGATAGTCGAGTTGTCAAATGCCTCAACTCAAAAAAGTAAGAAGAGCAGCTTTTTTTGTGTATTTCTCTAACCGATGGCAATACAGGATCATCAGTATATATGTCTTTCAAGTCGCGGACAATTCTAGCCACTCTTGTTATTTTATATCCCAAGTTGAAATCACTAAAACAGGGAGTTTGCAGTGTGAAAAATACAAGATCGAAGAAAATATTATATCGGAAAACTCTATAGGTGATCGCTGGGAAGCAATAATTGGAGATGGACCTCTTGTTGCCTTCGTTTGTGGAAAACGCTTTAAAATATTTTCTCTACAGAGAAACAATGTTTCAAGTGAAAGAGTAACAGATTGGACTCTTTCACTCGAAGGACATATGCCAGAAATAATACCCAGAGAAGATCTACCATTGATTCCTCTCTTTGTCGAACAAGGTTTACTATGTTGCTCTCTTGTAGACATATCATCGTCATCATTTGCATTGGTTTGTTGCTTTTGGAGCGAACCAACGAAGAGTTTGCATTTTATGAAATTTCCATTCCCTTCTGGAGTCGTAGCACTTTGTAAAGAATGGATTCCATATAAAAAACCTTCATTGTACGTGTTGACGGAGAATGAAATCTTTGAATGGAACTATATCTCTTTCAATTTGGAGAACACTTATGTAGGTGACGTAGAAGCAGAATTCAAAAATGTTGGACTCAGCGAACTTTGTAATCTTTCAAAAGATGTCTTCTTGACACCCATTAGTTATCGACAGAAACAATATTTGTTCCTTTTCACATCTGGAGTTGTTTCTTCGTATATACAAGTCATCGATTTTGATAATTCTTTCCATCTAGTGGCAAATCACAAACTACCGGAGCCTGGAGCTTTATATGTCTTTTATGCTGGTGAAATTTGGATGTCTTCTGAATATTATGGCGACGTACATTCCAATATCTTTACGTTTTGTAGAGTATCTCATTGTCTTTCAGAGAATTCTGAAAAGGATTTTCACGACGTACCCATTTCAGTTGACATGAGTCAAGCACAAGAGCAGTTTTTAAAGTCATTGACACAACGAATAGAAAAGGCAGAGTTGTGGATTTCACAAATTCGTGGAAATTCTGCAAGAGCCTTGCGTTGTATAAAGTGTACATACCACAGCAGAATTACCGAAGGCACTGAAAGATTCCTTGACGAGAAACCAGAGTGGATGACACGAATTTCAAGTTTTCAAGATTCTGATATCCTTTCAGAAGTCTCACTTTCTAAAGAACAAATTTATCTTGGAAGTTTTTTCTCATGGAAGAGAACCAATCATGGACGGGAGAGAAATCTAAGTCCTTGCTTTGTGAGAGATGAACTTTGTTATCGAACTGATTTAGAGAATATTACCAATAGCTCGGTAGTTTCATGTATTGTATTTGCAAGAAATGGAAGACGGGTGCCGTTTGTGCAGTTCTTATTACGTGAAGGCACTTTGTTAGAATTACATGTGGAATATTCGCCTCTTGTGCCGTTTGAAGCTATTGATGTGTTGATTGTTTTATCTTCTGATACGAAGAACGATTTCGTTCAGACAAGACACAAGACCCAAAATGATTTTTGTAGTCATGGAATGCATTTTGAAAACTCGAATACCTTGTTATTGCATTTACTGAAACCAGTGTTCAACGATACCTGTTCATCTGTTACAAACAAAAGTATGTCGATAGCCTATTCTTCATTTACACGTTGTTTGTTTGTTTCTAGCATTTGCGACATTAGTTTAAGAAAGAGTAGGTATCTTTCTTGTTTTGTTTATGAATCTCATATCTCTATCTAGTTGATTTTCGTAAATGGGACTTGTGTATTCTTTTGGATGATATTCTTGTTCTTCGTTGCTCGGGGGAAGATATTAAGACACTTATCCATGGCATGCTTGCTACGATACCTGGACTTTGTTGTGTCAAGGACGACATTGAATCTTCTTTCTGGTTGTCCAATATGAATCATTTGTTGGGTCTTGAAATATTTTGGCACAACTGGAAACAAAAACAGATATATCTGACCATGTATTGTAACTCTAGGGAAGTTTTTGACTCCATTTGTTCTGAACTATTGGCATGTCTTCATTGTCTGGGGCCTGTAAGAGTGAAGGATGTCTTGAATGAGAAATTCTTTTCAATTTTAGATTTATCGGTAAAAAAGCTGAACAAGGAATGGAATTATATACAAAACGTTGGACTAAGTCAGGTCAGTCCTCATTCATGGTTCTCTATTGTCGAACAAACAGATCAACAAATGGTTCTCTTAAATGCCTACTCCAAGTGGAACTTGGTCTCTCATCGTTTTCTGAAATATGACAAAGAAAGTAGATGATGCCATGTTTTCATTGTAGAAGATGAAAGGATACTCTTCAACTGTATGTGATTGCTCGCTCATCGACATATTATGTTTTTATCTCTGGCGCTGGCAACACTATCACTTATACCTTTACAAAATGAAAGTGACGCGAATCAGTGTTTTTGTTTGAGACATGAAATTGTTTTCATAGATGGAAAGAATCCATATAGTTATTGGAGTTGTGAGCAAACCAACATCATACACGTTATATCAATTTTGTGCTTTGAAGACCAAAGAGTTGCTTGTATTTGACACAAAATATTCGTTTTTTTTGTATGGGCATCTTAACTAACTCAAAACATGAGCGAGATTTCTGGTTTGTCTTACTTTTCGAGAGTTCAATGAATCACTAGTACAAAGAGTCAGTCTTAGCCTGGTCTCTCGTATGCTTTTTTTCCACTTGAGGCAAAATAATATATTCCATTGAAGCATTGAAAGGACTGAGATGCTGTAATCCGATTACGAAAACAAATTTTAAGAGTTGCAAGCAATTCAATTGATTTTCTAAGACAATTATTGTACAACCGTATTGCTTTTTCATTTCTAAATGAATCTTCAAAGAAGCCGATAGAGCTATATTGAAGCTGGTGGTGCCTCCAATATGTTGGATGATAATACATGAAGGGAAGAATCTTGCTTCGATTTGGAAGCCAGTTCGTATCTCATGCTATTGCTATCTCTGAAACCATTCCTATTTGATAGAGTTTAACGACCTTGTAAGAAAACAAATCGACCAACAGGCAACAACCTTTGTTATGTAGGTTACCACTTACAAAAATTCAACCAGTAAGACAGAGCCTATTGCATCTTGTTTGGAGTGATATAGTTTGAACATTTCCATATCTTTTCAAAAGATGGTGGTAGCCATATGACACTTTCTTCACAAGCACTCGAATAACTTGAAAACAAAAGATATAACCACAACTATAACGGAATCATCATTCATGTAGTTGTGAATAGTCTGTATCCTAAAGGTTGTATACTTCAGCTCTACTAAAGTCCAAGGATCCATCGAATGCATGAGACTGCATAACGATATATTTTGAATAAGACAAGACAATGACGAAATCGTTTCCTTAGCTTTCAAGATATAATAAGAAAAGGAGGAAAAAGTCGATTATTTATTACTACAACTTGAAATACAATTCTGGTTTCTTATCTTTTCGAAATTCCAACCAGTTTTCCATTCCTTTTTGAGCTCTTTCTTTCCAAATAAAAACTTCTTGACCAAATCTATAGTCTTTTAACATTTCCAATAAATCCTTTAACAACATACTAGTTATCCAACCTATAAAAATGCTATTCCATAATGAAGATGTTTCTTGTTTCTCTGAAAAATAACGTTGAAAAATAGTCTCCGTGTACTTTCCCAATGCCAATGCAAGCGAAAGCGACCACAAATTGACCCAACATCTTGTAAATGTACCAACATTTTGGTGCGACTGAAAATATTGTTGATATTCATCACAAAGTTGAGCCATACGAGTAGCTGTGGATAATCCGATAGCTTCCAATATGTCCAACCGTCGAATTCCCAACATCCAACGATTCCAACGAGCTTCACTATTGGCTATTTCTTCTTGTGCTTGAGAAATTCTGTATTGATATTCTTCCAATAAGTGTTGTTCTTCCCTTTGGAGAAGAGATGTGGAAATTATATTTTGCAACACGTTATATTTTTCCATAGCATTTTGTTCCTCTACTGATGCTTTCTCTAGTTCTAACAAGGCATGACGTACATTTTCATCTTCAATAGCTTCCCAATTAGACAAATCCCAATCTGTACTTGACTGTATGTTTGTGTTCCATGTCGCTCGTTGTTTGTGGAATAAATAAAGTATATTATTTATACCATTCCATGGATGGATAAAAGAACTCATCAGTGAAACCAGTGCAGTAAATAACAACATAGGAAGCCTTATACTCCATAAAGATGGCTTCCAAATGAAGTTTTTCCCAAGTACAGAAACAGAACAACCTCGACTCACAAAACGAATACAAGTGATCAACATCATTCCCATGAAAACACTTCCGATATCCATAAGCCACTTTCTCCAATCTACTGTTGGAAAGGGTGATTGTGTTTCGGTAAATAAAAGTGATTGCAACTTTTGTACCCAACGATCAGCCAACGATAATGCTTCCAAAGCTGATTGTTCCCTTTGCTTCATATCTATAAAAGAAGGAGATCGGGAAGCAACAGAGTACAAGTTCAATATACGGCTGGACTTGAGCTCTATAGCACGAGCAGCTTCTTTAGCAGCTTCCAATAGATCTTTTGAAGTAAGTGTCTGAAGACTGGACGAAGAGTTCGAATCATTGGATATGGGGTTAGAAACTGCAAAATATATGCAAGGTGCTAAGATTAAAAAGCCACTTTTCAAAAGTTTTCTCCAACTCGTTGATTGAGAATAGTGCCTTGTCCATATTTCAGTTGTGAACAACCTTTCGCCACACCATTGAATACCCATATCGTTGCTTTTAGTGAATGTATAGTGGAAACTTAAACAAGGCTTCCATAAACAAAGATTATCCAACACTTTTCGACTCCATAGTTTCTGTAACCGAGTCCAACAACCAACAGATCGCATGTGCAACAATTCGTTAAGAATCCAATTGGAATAGAACATCATGGAATGCACAAACTATTGCTTATGGAGTCATTCATTTGAGGATTTCACAATGTGTTGAAAGCGTGCTCTCATAAATATTATTTCCAGTATCTTATGATAGGGTTGTTTCTTATTTCCACAAAATGGACTCTTTTTTTTATGACAATCATAAAAGGAGGAAAAAAAGTGTAAAAAGAGACTTTTTCAGATATGACGCAATTCATAAGAAGCTGGAACTTTTTTGTAAATAAGTGAACTCAATAAAAAGAGGCAGTGTCTCGTAATGAAAGCGAATCTCCTCTTGAAGCTTCAATGACAAGTTAATCTCTACAGGTTATATGAAGTTTGAAAACTCAAGACTAGTATGATTACCTGGATAAGAATGAAAGTCCAGGTGGCAACAAACCCCATTGGATGGGACTTTTTCGCATCTTGTATACTGTACTTGGTTATATTTGACCAGTTAGTTAACGATAAAAACTTTTGAAAATAACGAAACATTTTCAAATATATTTTGTGCTTTCTAGAGGGTTGTTTCCATATTTGTTGGTAGATTCATTATTATTATTATTATTACCATCAATCTTCCAAAATGTTGTTATAATTGAATTGAGAACAGCGCCAAGTCAGTTTGAAAAAGTCCTTCCATAGTATAATACAGGTTTTGAAACTTTGGAAATGTGAATCTTTTTCAGAAATAGTTCATATGCTGTATCAAAACGATGACAAATGCTTGGTTGGTCCTAAGTTTTCTTTTTGGTTTTATGAATAGATTCGAAAACTCGTCTATTGCTTTCTTATTCGATTCTTCCATACAGAGAAAATATTTTTTCTAAACTATAACATGGAGTAAGGTCAATACGGTGTGATTTTCTCAACTTTCCTTACTAGAGATACTTCTACCATCTTCATTTGATAATGAAATGTTGTTTTTACGATACATGCATTTCAATTTATTGTTATCAGGGAGCTTGGAATTACAGAGAACCCCTCAATACGCTCTTCTAATCGGATCAAAAGGTAATGCCATATTCTTTCTGACGACAAGTAAAAGAAGATTCAAGACAAACATGAATATATGTGGCAATAAGTTGTCAAGTTTTGAAGGATATCCAAAGTCCAATCTATTTCATCGTTTTCAATGGAAAAATAGTCGAGCTTTCAATTCAGAGTTCAGCCTAGTTGTTTATGTCATCTAAACCATGCAACTGTGGTAAGAAGAATAAATTTGCTCAAGTTTGATATAGTTTTTGACAGTGTCTTATACAACAGCA